ATGGCTATCATATTGTCATGTCACAATTTCACTTTTTTTTTTTTTTTTTTGCCATTCTGACTTGTTTCTTCAGGTCACCTGTTGATTTATGTCAGCCACATGAATTTCACAGAATTATTTTAGCCAAGCAATGCTCAAAGGTGGTCTGCCATTTCCTTTCTCTCAGATATGCCTTACAGCACCTAGTTTCCCATCTACATTCTAAGCAGGGCTCACCCTGCTTAAGTTCCAAGATCAGACAGAATCTGGTGCCTCCAAAGTATTTAGGCCTCTTCTATTTGCCATGAACAATGGGTACCTTATTTTCCTGCGTATAAGACTACTTTTTTACCTGCAAAATCTGTGGCTAAAGTGGGGGGGGTCGTCTTATATGCCGGATATAAGGATAATGAGGATAGGGGTGCTAAAACTCTATATTTTGACTGGAAAAATGGGGGGGTCGTCTTATACGCCGGAAAATACGGTATATATTTTTGCCACTGGTGGGGGTCAAGGTGTGGACAAGGGACATGAGCATTTTGTATCATGTTATTTTGTAGGCATTCATTAGTAGGATCTACTGATGAGCGAGATTCATGTGGCAAAAGGGCCACTGCAGCCATGTATGAAGCTTTTAAAAAAAAGAAACAAAAAGACTTTTTGACCACTCATTTTTATTATCCCTTACTTGTTCAACCTGCATGCAGAGAGATCTTTTAGCACCTTTGAGACTAACTTAAGTCTATGAAAGCTCATGCTGCCAACTTCTTTCTTTAGTTAGACTAAAAGGTACTACAAAAGCTCTCTACATACTGATTCTGCAGACTAACATGGATATATCTTTGAATTCTTGTTCAACATGGTAGTTTACACCATGTCTAGTTCTACCAAACAACCCAATAAACATAGAGGATATTCTGTATTGCATTATAAAATCATAGAATTAGAAGAGACCACCAGGGCCATCCAGTCCAAATCCCCACCATCCAGGAATACAGAATCAAAGCACCTCCAATAGATGGCCATCCAGCCTCTATTTAAAAACCTCCAAAGAAGGATATTCTACCACCCTTCAAGGGAGTGTGTTCCACTGTCAAACTGCTCTTACTGTCAGGACATTCATCCTAATGTTGTGGTAGAATTTCTTTTCCTCTAGTTTGAATCTGTTGCTCCAGGTCCTGTTCTCTGGAGCTGAAGTCCCACAGAGATGCCCACTTCAGTATATAGAATGAGCTGTCTTGGAAGGAAAACAAGCATTGATAACATTTTGTAACAGCTGGAAGAAAAACACAGTATGACCCCCATATCCATGAGGGATAGGTCCCTGGATTTACTGTGGAAATGTGAAGCCACAAATAATGGCAAACTCTATTAAAATGAATCACTTCTGGTGGAAGCACACCATAGAATTGTGTTGGAGGACCTAGAAATGCCTAGAGACAGCACCTCTCTAGGAAGCTTGAGGTCTTCCAGTGTGACTCTATAGTCAACTGCCAACAGAAGCATACCACAGAATTGTGCTGGAGGAACTAAAATGTACCTAGAGAGAACATATATTTTTGACACAAGTAAATTAAACTGCAGGTACTAGTCCTGGGACTATGAGAATCATACCGTAACAGTTTATAAATCAGGACTGTATGATCTTGAAGAACTGGGGGAAAGAATAACAATCACGATACTGAAGAAGTAAGATATTTTAAAATGATACACAGGGACAATTTATTCTTCAAAGTGTTGGGGGGTGCGGGTGGAGGTATGTTCTGTAGAGATATATGGGTTTTCAGCTTCTGTCTTGTATTTTGACCTATGGTAGGATGCAACATTACAATTACTATGGTCTTCTTTACTTAGAGTTGCTTTAAAGAGAAGGGTAGAGAGAGCAAGAAGATACAGATGTTGGCTGTCTGTCTTTGATTTTAATGGTTGTATGAAAGACTGCACTTTCTCAAGTTTTGTTTTATTACCCATGCTCATCTTATGCAACTGTAAAAGATTAACAGAAGTGCTATATGTAGTTACATCTGGTTGCCCTAGAGCAGGGGAAGGAACTGTGTGGCTCCCCAGATGTTGTTGTTTTGTAACTCCCAGCAGCCCTTGCCAGCATAGACAAGAATAAGGGATGGTGGGAACTGCAGTTCAGTGACATTTTGTGGGATTGCATGTTCCTAACTCTTCCCCAAGAGAAACAAGCTGAAAGATGTACAGATTTGATTGAAATCGTACAGGTTAGGCTCACAGTTCAAGTTTTATTTAACAGTTGCTCCTGCTAATGTATCTTGCAAATGATACCAAAGCATGGACATAGCAGTGTG